ACACTCTGCCCCCGGGGACCGTCCCCTGCAGCAGCTAACTTGAGTCATCATAGCAGACAGAGCCCTCAACATGGCAGAGTTCATGAGGAAAGAGTCAGGACCCCTGCTGCAGTCAGCGAGAACCCTACATGAAGCCCTCCGTTGGAGAGGGGGGGTCTGTCATCTGGAATGTCATATGCCTGGGCTGTAGCACTGCACAATTTCAGGGGACATACACAGAAGGGACCAGACTTCCGCTATGAGGTTTCAGTGAGTCCACAGGGGAAAGAGAAGAGTCCCTGGCTTGGTTTGTGTACTGGGAGAGGATTAAAGCCCAGCCTGGGCATCCAGTAGTAACAGGGCTGCAACTCAGGCTGTGGAAGGTGTAGTGGGATAGCAAGGGAACTGGAGGCCTCCACTGAGCAGAGATTTGGTGGGGAAAGTCGCAAGTGAACACAGCAGGTCACTATGCGGTGGTCCAGGACCTGAGACCCAGAAGGAATTTGATACCTGAGAACCATTTGGTGAATGTTCTAAAGTTTAGAATCTAAAGCAACTCATGATTCATCTTGTTTGTTCTGCAATCAATTACCAAATTCTTTCTCCTACAAAGTCCCCCTGGTCAACCCTCAGCTTCCATCCCAACCCTCCCTCACCTTCCTTCTAGGGACACTGTCACCCCCTCAGTTCTTCCTCCTGAGCTTGTCTGAGCCCTTCCTCCTCCAGACCCCTGGGCTCAGCCCCCCTGACACCCCCTCACCTGCTCTGTTGCCTCCAGGCTCCTTGCTGAACGTGACACCAGGGACGTCTCCTGAAGTGTCGCTGTCATCCCTCCTGTCTCCTGTTCACAATCTCTTCAGTTCACAGGCCCAGGTGATGAATCGATCCAGTCCCCTCACTCTGACACACAAGAACCTCCTTCCCTGACTCCTTCACTGGCCTTAGGCCTTTGCTCCCAGAGCCCTCAGCATGACCCCCACCACTGCAGCCTCCTCTCACTGGACCGTCGTCAGCTTTCCACATGACCTTCGTCTAGTAATCCAGGAGTCCTCACTGGAAAGGTTGCTTATGACCATCAAGTACTTAGGATGCAGAAGGTTGTGGCCCAGGGACACTGTGGACTGACAGTGACCAGGCTCTCGAGTGACTCCACTTGCATGATTCCTGCTTGTTACCAGCCACCGTTCACCTGGACAGCCAGTTCCTGGTCAGGCTCTGACAAGGCTGGAGGAGCCACCTGCCAACATCTGAAGATAATTTATTCACTTCCAAGGCCCACTGTCAGGTAAGTTGGGGAGCTGGATTCCATGGTATCAGTCAAGGACTCAGGACACCCTGTGCACCCAGCAAAGTGTTGACTAACTACAAATCTAGTCTAGAATGAAAATGCTTTGAAGATATAATCATGTTAAGATAGCAGGATATCGTGTAATCTTGTAACCTTTGAGGGGAAATCCGATGTAAACTGTAAGTAACAAAGGGAAAGAGGGGACAGGACAGTTCTTTGAGGACACACCCTCGTTGTTCTCTAGAATTGTTGGCTTTTCTGTAAATAAAAGTGAAATTGTTAATCTCTCATCTGCTTCTCCGTTATTGGCTTGGGTGACAGGTGGATGGACTCCCTGGTCCAGCATCACGCTGAGAGACTGCAGTCTGTGTAGTGAGCAGCAGGGGGCGCTGTGGGTCTTTCCCAGGACAGCACGGGGCGGGGTGGGGTCGGGGAGGGGGAGAGTGATCACAGCTGCCAACGCCCAAACTGCCAGGGCGGGGCAGTGGAGCCTAACACAGACTCTGCAGCTGTCCTCTCTGGGTGAGGTCCCAGCACCTGCCTCCTCTCAGGTCCTGCCTGCC